TTGCCAAATTCACCAGATGCTGCCATATGCTATAACTGATACTATTATCTGTTTATGTCACTGTTCACTGTGTTCACATCCTCAGTGCTACTTGGCCAAAGAGGAAAATATAACTACTTTTCCACGAACACTTCCTGTTATGTTTTGACCTGGCACTTAGGAATAGGGAATGAACGCCACATTAGTTGAACCAACAGCTGATCCTTTTGCTAGCTTTGGACTTTGGATGTGTTTCATGTTGAGACCATATGATATAACTCATTTATATTCTATGGCTTATGATTGAAGGTAAAAAGAAAGCAAGCTACTGTAGTGGAAAATAAATGTTCCTTTACAATACAAGAAATCCTTACTGAAAATTAATGTGTTGCTTATAAACTAGCAATTGAAGTGGTGCAGCCTCCATATAAGTTCTTTCCACAGATTTGCCATTCTCTTTTTCAGATAGTTGTAGGAATTTTCCATCCAGCTGCATTACTTTTGGGTAAAAAAAAAAGCTAAGCTACAAGAGACGAAAGCTCCAATTTCGTGTCAATGTCTGAATCCAATTTGTTGAGCTTTGTTCCAAAGTCTTTTTTAGGCAAAACCAATAATGGCTCCGAATAATGAACTTGGGTGGAACAAAGCTCAAAGTGAGAAAGACTAAATAAATCCATATAATAATAATAATAATAATAATAATAATAATAATAATAATAATAATAATAATAATAATAATAATAATAATAATAATAATAATAATAATAATAATAATAATAATAATAATAAAAGTTGGAAGGGACCTTGGAGGTCATCTAGTCCTGCTCAGGCAGGAAACTCTATACCATTTCGGACAAATGGCTGTCCAGTCTCTTCTTAAAAACCTCCAGTGTTGGAGCATTCACAACTTCTGGAGGCAGGTTGTTCCACTGGTTAATTTGTTCTAACTGTCAGGAAATTTCTCCTTAGTTCTAGGTTGCTTCTCTCCTTGCTTAGTTTCCACCTCTACCTTAAACCTAGTCTTCTGCATTCTAAAATAGATATAAAGCCAGATTGGAGAAGTGGCTGAAGTGCTGGAGACTATGAATTCTAGTCCTCCCTTTGGCATGAAGGCTGATACGGTGGCCTTGGGTCATTTATTCTCTCTCAGCCCAACCCACGTCAAGGAGTGGTTATTGTAGGAAAAATAGGAGGCGGGAATATTAGATATATATCTCACATGTAGAGGAAGCTCCAATAAATAATGAATATTGACATCTGCATTGTTAATCTGCCCTTGACTAGTCCTTGTAATTAAATATAAGTATAATTCGGGAAACAGTATAAATTGAGATTTTAGTTCTTGTTCCAAATAAGTTGCATCTTTGAAAAGTGATGTTGGCTTCTTCACCCTAACTCCTCCATTCTCTTAAATAAAATCCTCCACTATCTTGAAGATGTACCAACACTTTTAGATTATTTAGATTAGGAAAAAAGAGTGGCCATTTGAGGGAACTCAAGTTTTTGTGAAAAACTTGGGACGTCCAGTTGCTGACAGATGAATGTGGTTTGCCGATTTGTCCTCAATTTGTTGGCATTGTTCAGCTAACTTTGAACAAAGCTTGACTTGTTCAGGGTCTTTGCTGCCATCTCGTGGTCATCTGGATTTTTGAACCCTAGTTTTGTTTCTGATGGTGAGATGCTCTTTTTATCCCAAGCAGGGATAACTGCATGCTTATGAATAAATGACACCTCACATTTCCACATAGAAAATGTTCTATTGTTACTCATGGCCATTGCTTACTTTAAGAATAATGTTACTTTTTCATTTTATGTCGGCTGGGTTTTGGAATGTGTGTGTGTGTGTGCGCACGCGTGTGCGCACACATGTAGGTTTTTAAAAATTACATTGACTGTGTTTTAATGTGTGCATGAAAGGTGATAGCATGAGTTTTTTCAGAAATAGAAATTATAAAAACGGCACAGCAAAAACCTGCACCACAAGTGCAGGAGTTTCTTTTTGGGGGGATATTATGGTAAATATCCCTGAAAGCGTGAAGGGCATGCAGGAATTTCTACTTACATCAGCACTCCTGAAACTGGCAAGCAGAGTTCATACACCAAATCTTCTTTGCCCTTTATTTTTTAAAAGATATCTAAGCTCATAAACCCTCCCGTTCCTTTTCCCCTCCTCTCCATTCACCAACGGCCTCCTGATGCAAAAGAATTTAGCTTATTTAGCAGGATCTTCTTTTAGTTTTGCCCTTCCTCTGTCTTCTTTTTATAGCTCTCTCGTCATAGACTTGTCAAAGACCAGGTTACAGTGTATTGATTTAGTGCAAATTAGATCAGGGAAAAATTTAAATTTAGTGCAAATTAGATCGGGGAAAGCCAGCCTCGCTCAATCTTTTGTCTCTGAGACAAGGAAAATAAAAGTGTCTGGAGTGGGTTGTCATCTCAAAGGCAGCCATAGAAAAAAGTTACCTCAGAATTAGTCAAGGTCCTTGAGTATTTGCATAGGTGCCCATCTTGGAGCAAGAATGCTGGCCCTGCAATTATCTCTGGTTGTCATTTGAGAAGAACCAGGTTTGAAGGGAGTGCAAGCTGGAGGCCTTGGGGTGACCTTCGGAGCAGTGATCCATTAGTTCCTCTTTGAGGCTGTAGCGTTCATTCTTATTGTGACTTAGCTACGATTTTCGATCTTCCTGTTGCAAAGTGCGTGTGGATTAGGGATTTTGTTCTTCTATCACAGGGGTCTTCAAACTTGGCCCTTTTATGACTTGTGGACTTCAACTCCCAGAATTCCTCAGCCAGGCACGCTGGCTGAGGAATTCTGGGAGTTTGTCCACAAGTCATAGAAGGGCCAAGTTTGAAGACCCCTGTTCTATCACCATATGACAAATCTAGCTTCTGCCAAATGCCTGCAATTTCTCTTGGAATCTGTACAAAAATGAATTCCTCTTTCCTTACTTGGATTTTTCAGAGATGCAGGGATAACTCACCCATATTTTAATTTAACCATAATTCATAATTTAACGCCCATAGGTTCATCAGTAAAACAGCCATTGCTAAATCATCAGCAAATGTTTCCAGACTACAGCAGAAGTCTTCTTTTTTAACATTTTTTAAAAATGTTGAAATAGTAAGTTTGCAGTGATTTTTCTCAATGGTCTGCTAATTTGTATGAAGTAAAGGAAGTAATATTGTCTACTTTATTGCTCTAGAACAGAGGTCTTCAAACTTGGCCCTTTTATGACTTGTGGACTTCAACTCCCAGAATTCCTCAGCCAGCATGTGATAAAAGGGCCAAGTTTGAAGACCCCTGGTATATAACCTAAAAATTTGACTTCATAAAATGTGTTCTACGGCTTACCATGTTGTACAAACCCAGACTGTCATAGCTTATTCCAGGGGTCTCCAACCCTGGCAACCTTAAGACTTGTGGACTTCAGCTCCCAGCTTTGTTGCCAAGGTTGGAGACCCCTGGCTTATTCAGCAAACTGTGGTTAAACAAACCATGTTGAAATAGGTTTGTTATTTTACAGATGCCACATTGATCTTCAGTATCAAATCCTTGCCTTATCTCCTTTCCATACAGCTGGAAAGAGTGGTTTGGAAAGTTTTAGGTTTAATTTTGGCAAACTACAACTGGACATATCAAGTGACACTTTGATAACACAACTAATTATTGTAATTTCAGTAAAAGATGGCGCCTAGAGTTACATACGTTGCTATTGTGCTTTGATGGGTTTGGGGCTTGCGTGATATATGAAACCAGCCATTGCAATCTGTAAACCATGGTTAATAGCTTAATTTATGAGAACAAGACTGCTGTGACTGGCTCACCGTGCACACAGTGCAAACGTGGCTTAATGCAGTATGTGAGCGCATCAAATCAAGACATCCTGACAAACTGTGATAAACTAAGAACTGCTGTAGAAGATGGCTAACCTCATGGAAGGAAAAGGGCTTAAAAGGGAATTGAAGCCTGTGGGTAGCAGGGATACAGTCATGAGGTTTTAATCCCCATGATTAAACAAGCAGATATCTAATGGTGTTTCAGTGTTCTTTTCTATTCATCAGTAAACTCAGTCCCTTAATTTCTTCTGAGGAAAGAAATCTTCATAAAAACCCTTGGCTGGGAGCCTCCAATGGGGTGAGGGTCAAAAAAGTCACAGCCACACATCTGAAACCTTGTGCCTTTTGTACAAGCTGCATATAAAAATGGGCAGGACTTGGATCAGGGGTCTTCAAACTTGGCCCTTTTATGACTTGTGGACTTCAACTCCCAGAATTCCTCAGCCAGGCACGCTGGCTGAAGAATTCTGGGAGTTGAAGTCCACAAGTCATAAAAGGGCCAAGTTTGAAGACCCCTGACTTGGATTGTTACAGATTCCCTTTTTGGCTTAGGCATCCTCTTCTATGCCCCAGACCTAGGCAAGGGATGGGTGGGGAAGGTTAAGAAGAGTAGAACAACTGAGACCAAATAAGAGAAAACAGTGAACTCGTTGGATTAAAGGCAGAAATATATATTTTTGGAAAGCATCATTATCTTCTTTGGGAATGGGGGATGGCTTTTGTCAAAAGTAAGATGGGGGAACTAGGGGAGGGAGAGACAGGGGCTCTACTTAGCATTTGGGGAAGGGGGAGGGTGCCATGGGTGGAGTTGTGAGGCCAACCTATGGACAGAGCTATGAGCTGTTCTTTTCCTTTCATTTGGAACAGAAAGTTCATTATTTATTTCATGCCAGGTAAAGCCTATGTCAAGGTACACATTTACCCTTTTGCTTTTGACTGGATATGGCAGAGAACTGAAAAATTTAAAAAATGTGCTATTTTAAGAAGGCATTTGTACCCTACCTTGTACCCTAACTTGACAGTTTAGATTTAAATCCTTATAATGTTTCTACTTTATTTCTCCTTCGTGTAATGATTTTGATTAATGCCTTTTCTATAGGATTAGTGTCTTTTTTTCTGGCTTCAGTCATTCCAAACTCAGTTATTCAACTATCTGTTTCTTTAATCATCAAACACACACAAAATAAAGACATTTTATTAAATAAAGGGTTTTACCTGGTGTGCAAACTACAGACATTTTCAGTAGGGGCTTGCAGGAATCTTGTATATGGTTAATATGATCTATGGCAGATGCACATTTGATGCTTTTATCTACTACTTTTAAAAAACAGGAGGAAGACTAGGAATATTTTTTCTATTTTAGGACAAAAAAAACCCCACAACAATCACCAAAACTCAAAAAAANAGGGTTTTACCTGGTGTGCAAACTACAGACATTTTCAGTAGGGGCTTGCAGGAATCTTGTATATGGTTAATATGATCTATGGCAGATGCACATTTGATGCTTTTATCTACTACTTTTAAAAAACAGGAGGAAGACTAGGAATATTTTTTCTATTTTAGGACAAAAAAAACCCCACAACAATCACCAAAACTCAAAAAAAAAACCACCAAAACCCTCATGAATGTCTAAATTACCGGTATACTCTTTTTCCTCTTGCCAACAGTTGTTTGATTCTCCTCAGGAAGCCTTTCCTTAGCTTTGTAAGAAAAGAAATCATCTCTTTTTAGTTGAATAGACCAGAAGATTTATTTAAAAAATACAGTTAATTGATTAATTGCAGTATTCAAATATAAGATATGATTTGATTTGATTCGTTCATTTGATTTTTTTTTAACAGTCAATCTCAGCTACTTACATTCTCCACAGTATAAATAATTGACATATTATAACAATAACTGAATCACAGTTTAAAATTATGCAATTATGTATCAAAAGCTATAAAAAAGATGGCAACATTTATGTATCTTTTTAAAATACAGTATCTTTTTAAAGTACGGTAGGAGGTTTGGAGGAGAAGACAAACAATTTCATCATATTGGCATGACCCTAGAAAAACAGCATCCCCACAAAATGGGAGACCCCTCGTAGATTTTCCTAGAGCAGGGGTAGGCCACCTTGGCTCTTTTATGACTCGTGGACTTCAACTCCCAGAATTCCTGAGCCAGCATGGCTCAGATTGGAAACCTCTCCCTTTCCCCTCAGCATGGCTGGCTCAGGAATTCTGGGAGTTGAAGTCCACGAGTTATAAAAGCGCCAAGGTTGCCTACCCCTGTCCTAGACGCTGCGAATCAGGTAGGTTGAAACTGAGTGCAGGAGACAGATTTTACTTCCAGGCATTGTCGGTTGGGCTCACTTTTTTCCCATGTTATTTTTTCCATGTGGGGTGAGTAAGTTTCAAATGTCTGACCTTTTAAGTATTGAAGGTGAGTGCACCTGATCATTGTTTTTTTGTGTTTTAGATACTCAGAGAATCTAATAAATTAGCTGAAATGGAGGAGCCCCCTTTGCTACCTGGAGAAACTATTAAAGACATGGGTAAGTGCAGCTATTTGTATTTTCTCACCAAAGTAAATTACAAGAGCTGTGGAAAGTAACCATGTGACTACAAGTAGTCCTCACGTTACAACCACAACTGAGCCAAGGAAGTTGTTAAGTGAGTTTTGCCCCATTTTATGAGCTTTCTGGCTACTGTTGTTAAGTGGATCATTGCAGTTGTTAAAATAACATGGATGTTATGTGAATCTGGCTTCCCCATTGACTTTGCTTTATCAGAAGGTCGCAAAAGGGGATCACATGACCTTGGGACACTGCAACCATCATAAATACATGCCAGGTGCCAAGCGCCCAAATTTTGATCATGTGATGAGTAACTGTGTGGAGGGTTGCCAAGTGAGATACACACTGATGTACCATTGGTATTTTGGCTTCTATGTGCTAGCCTTGAGGTCTTTTGGTTGAAAGTCTTAAACAGGTCCATTCCACTGATATACACTGATAGCAGATGCTGTTATGTTATCTATTTACTCTTTCTAGTCTGTCTGTCTGTCTGTCTGTCTGTCTGTCTGTCTGTCTGTCTGTCTGTCTGTCTGTCTGTCTGTCTGTCTGTCTGTCTGTCTGTCTGTCTGTCTGTCTATCTATCTATCTATCTATCTATCTATCTATCTATCTATCTATCTATCTATCTATCTATCTAATGATTCCATCCAGGCATAAGGAAGGAAGTCTTGCTAGACTAAATTTGCAGAAATGGAAAAGGACTGGACCTCCTCAGAGGTCATGAAGAATTAATTGACCTGGAGTGTAGGATAGAGAGGATAGAAGTAGAAAACTGGTAAACAAATGAAATGGAGTGATAGTTGGCTTCAAGTCTTTGTTTATATGAATTCAGCTTCTAGCTGCTCATGGGGCTCATTAAAATAACTTTGCGGGAAAGTTTAAAGGTTAAGCATTTTGTCAGAGATTCCAGGGGAAATAATGTCAAACTGGGTGCCTCTCTTATTCTCAAATCGGTCCATAAAACAATCATGTCAGGCCATATTTATTTGTTCCTGCCACAAAGTTTAAAATCCTTTGTCATTCTCCCACATATTTCTCCATGCAAGTCTGCAGAAGTAGTGAGAAGAAGCTCTTTTTTCTTCTTCTTCTTCTCCAGAAGGCATAAATCTGGCATTACTCTTGTTTCATGTTATAAAAAAGGGGGGGGGGGGACTAAAATTTGGAATACCGTTATGAAGGGAGACCTTTATAAATATTATGAAAATTAAAGAAAACATCGTTTTCTACAATGAGTATAGACGGGCAAATGACCTCCATAAGCTCCTTGAAACTGTCAATGTTTAATGTCTGACATAAAATTTTCGTACCTTTCCCATTCCGAATTATTTAACGAAAAATGAAAAGGAACAAATTGATGGGTTCGCAACTTTTATTTGAAGGGAGGGCATAGCTCAGTACATGCTTTGTGAGTCATGATGGAATCTCCTGCCTTTCAAAGTGGAGTTGTATATATGAAGTGATTACACAATATAGCCTTCAACATGAAATAATCAGAACTGAAGTTTTCATTGTACAACAAATACTTAGATGGAGCATTTTTTTTTAATCTAACATCAGTGGAGGGATTCAGCCAGTTCCCACCGCTTCGATAGAACCGGTAGCTAATTTTTTGTTGACTTTGGTGAACCAGCTGATGCCCTACCCCTTTTTTGCAAGGCCCAGAACAGACCACTGGAAGAGCGTGGACGCCACTTCTGGAAGTCCATTCTGAGCCGGGGAGGCCTCCCAGGCCCAGAACGGCTGACCAAAAGTACATGGACACCACTTCCAGAAGTCCATTCTGAGCCGGGGAGGCCTTCCACGCCCGGAACCCACCGGAAGTGGCATCCATGCGCTTCCGGTGAGCCGTTCTGGGCCTCGGAGACCTCCCTGGCTCAGAATGGACTTCCAGAAGTGGTGTCCACACAGAGAACCGGTTGTTCAGGTATTTGAATCCAACCACTGCCTAACATTATACCAAACTTTGGATGAAAAAGTCGAATAATTTTATGCTTGTATTATCAGCATCCTACATTTTAATTAAGCTTAATAAAATATTTCTTTCTCTTTATTTCCAATATTCTAATTCAGTGTTTCTCAACCTTGGTGACTTGACGATGGGTGGACTTCAAGTCCCAGAATTCCCCAGCCAGCTATTCTGGCTGGGAAATTCTGGGACCTGAAGTCCACCCTTCTTCAAATTGGCAGGGTTGAGAAACACTGCTCTTCGTCATTGTTTCTTAAACTTTTTTTCAATCTTAGAATCCCCTTCCACTTTTAAAAATTACCAAGGACCCTCAAAAGAGCTTTTGTTCCTATGGGTTATATTTATCAATATTTACTGTATTAAAAATTAAAATGGATGCATTCTCTGTCTCTAGGTGTCATGGAGATTCTCAATCATCTGGGTTATTGTTGTCCCAAAGGTGTTTTTTTTCCAAAAGGCAATTGGACTTCCTTGATTTCTTTTCTTTGAAAAATGTTTCGCTTCTCATCTAAGAAGCTTCTTCAGAACCAAGAAAGTCCAGTTGTCTTTTGAAAAAAGCAACTTTGGGACAATCTTTGTCTCTATCTTTTCTCATGACTGTTTGATGGGATTTTAATATTGGATTATTTTTTAAACATAGGTTGGCAAATCATTCTTATTTTGAGGACTGCAGAGACAGCCTTGGGGATCGCCAGGGGTCCTAGAACCATACTTTAAGAAACACTGCCCTAGATTAACGAAATAATAGAATGTCAGTGATTTTTAATAAATATTTTATAAATATCATTCTGTTGAAACAATATAGTGTGTCAGCATTTACGACTATATAATGAAAAGGGAGGAGAGAAAAAAAATCACCTGTGAAAACATTGGAGAGACATTGCCGGCAGCATAGACAAATGTAGGCTAAATGAACCAGAGCTTGTACTGGATATTCATCAACTTCAAATATTCATTAGAGCCCGTAAAGCACTTTAGATTCAGTCTCCAAAGAGCAAGTCGGTTATTTCTTGCACAATGATGGCAAAATTTATGATTGCTGTAAGAAGGAGCAGGCATACACTTCAAAGCACAGCTGTAATATTCATGTTTCCATAGCGTGCATGTCACAAAAAGCCACAATATAAATTACATTTTCTCTTAGAATTTATTTTTTTTTAGACAACTGTCCTGTGTTGAAATGGACTATAACAAAGGGAAATAAACTTTGTGCTGAGTAGCCATTTAGGTATTGGACTAAGATTGGGGAGATCCAAGTTTATCCACTCTTAACCTAGTTGTGGAAATTTCCTGAGTGATTTTGGCCAGTCTTTCTGTCTCACCACCGTACTTCACAGGGATCTTGTTTTGGTGGTAAAATGAAAACAGATCCAATGTACTACACCAGTGATGGCGAACCTTTTAGAGACTGAGTGTCCAAACTGCAACCCAAAACCCACTTATGCATCGTCCAGTGCCGGGTGGGTGTGGCCCATTGGGTGGGTGTGGCCCATTGGGTGGGTGTGGCCCATTGGGTGGGCGTGGCTGCGGTGGTAACGGCAGACTGGGTGGGACTAAAAAGTTCAATCAATAAATTCCAACTTTGCAAGATCTTTTTTTTCCCCGCAAGAAGTTGAAATTGATTGATTGATTGAACCTTTTTTTTTTTTTGCACATGGCGGTGGAGGCCTAAAGCGAAAAGGTTTTATAAAACCCAGCTGAAGGCCTAGGACTGGGGCGACGGCGCACGTGCCCACAGAGAGGGCTCTGAGTGCCGCCTCTGGCACCCGTGCCATAGGTTTGCCACCACTGTACTACACTTTGACTTATCTGAGGAATAGTGGAATATAAAGGTAATAAGGATGTATAAAGTAATTAATGCATTAATCCAGGGGTTTCCAACCAGGGGATATTCCAGGGGGTGCGAAAACTTGGGTTTAGAAGTTTCAAAATTATAGTGTATATGCATAATTCGTTGCCGTTATTTTGAACTTTTGTAAGGGGTGCGAGAATATATTAGAAGCGTTCTAGGGGTGCAGGGTATAGAAAAGTTTGGGAGCCGCTGCATGAATCTTAAAGATAACCCCAGCTTTCTGAATGTATTTGTAAGTTTATTGCATGGCTATGTATTAAAAAATCAAATCCTTAACCCTGTTAGCTCTGTCAAACAATAATTCTTTGGTTTGGATGCTTTATTGATACATTTCCATTTTCTCCAGAACCCTCCATTTGTTCTAGATGGCCCTCTTGGAGTGATTAACAGAGTAGAGAAAATTGGAGGAGCTTCTAGTCGTGGTGAAAATTCATACGGCCTAGAAATTGTGTGCAAGGTAAACTGGTTTATCAAGAATGGGAAGATATTGTATTGAGTTCATGATCCATAGCATGTAACGGCTATGGCTTGTAATGGTCTTAATGGACTTCAGTAATGCACGTTGACAGAAAATTCATATAATCATAAAACGTAAGGGTTGTAAATAACTCTGAAGATCATTTAATCCAACCCCCTGTCCAATTGAAGAATGGACTATTCCGGTTTTACATTTTAAGGTATAATAATTTTAGATGAAGTTAAACATTTTTTGAGTCTGGAGGCCACTGTTGCCTACATTCATGATTGAATGAAAAGCTAAATTTCAATTAGAGGTTAGTGGGGAATAAAAGCCATATCTTTTTTCCATCCAAGTTTGTGCATCCCTTGAAAAATGTTCATGGACACCAGATTAAGAATCCCAGTTTAAATTGACAGACTTGTGTTTTTTGTCTCTTACAAAATATTTTCCCTCCTCCCCACTGCATAACACAGAGAGAATTTGGCAGCAATTAATAAACTAATTTCTCAGCAAATGAATCAGTATGATGTACTGCTGGATTTCTGGTAAGACCCAGTTTTGCCCTACGTTCTGTAGGATGTCCGGAATCTTCGGTTTGCTCATAGACCTGAAGGTCGCACGAGAAGATCCATATTCGAGAACTTGACAAAATATGCATTTCCGGTGTCCAATCACTTGGTAAGTATTTTTTTGCTAATCTGACAAACATAATTTTTTCCAAAATATACAGGTAGTCCTTGACTTACAATCACAATGGAGCCCCAAATTTTCCATTGCTAAGCAATACATTTGTTAAGTGAGTTTTGCCCTATTTTACGACTTTTCTTTCCACAGTTGCTAAGTGAATCACTGCAGTTGTTAAGTTAGTAACATAGTTGTCAAGTTTAATCTGGCTTCCCCATTGACTTAGCATGTCAGGAGTTCACGAAAGGTGATCACGTGATCCCAGGACTCTGCAACTGTCATAAATTCATGCCAGTTGCCAAGTGTGCAAATTTTAATCACATGACCACATGATGATGATGCAACAGTCGTAAGTGTGAAAAGCAGTCATAAGTCACCTATTTCAGGGCCATTTTAACTTTCAATGGTCACTAAACGAATGATTGTAAGTCGAGGACTGCCTCTATAGTGTGGTTTGTAAGATGAAAATGCAGGAAAGTGGAGTGATGTTGATCTTGGTGGGGACTATTGCAGTGGTGGAATTCAAATACCTTAACATCTGGTTTTCTGCGTGGATGCAGGCCTGGGCCTCTGAGGCCTAGAATGGACTTCCGGAAGTGACATCAACGCACTTCCTGTGGGCTTTTCTAGGCCTGGGAGGCCTCCTCCAGGCCTCCTCCAGGCCTAGAACGGACCACAGGAAATGACATCAATGCACTTCTGGCTGGCCGTTCTAGGCCTGGGAGGCCTCCACCAGGCCTAGAACGGACTTCTGGAAGTGACATCAACGCACTTCTGGCGGGCCATTCTAGGCCTGGGAGACCTCCTCCAGGCCTCCGAGGCCTAGAATGGACTTCCAGAAGCAGCATGGGTTCAGCCGGTTCTCTGAACTCAACAAAATTTAGCTAACAGTTCTCCCAAACTGGTGCGAACTGGCTGAATCCCACCACTGGGCTATTGGCTTCTTGAACTCAAGCCAGTCTAAAAACAAGGCTGTAATCCTTTCGAATTGCAAAAGAGGGAGACTCAAGAGTTAAATCAGAATGTTCAAATTTTTTCTCCCCATAAACGTTGGGATTAGTCCAGGGGTAGGCAACCTTGGCTCTTTTATGACTCGTGGACTTCAACTCCCAGAATTCCTGAGCCAGCATGGCTGGCTCAGGAATTCTGGGAGTTGAAGTCCACGAGTCATAAAAGAGCCAAGGTTGCCTACCCCTGGATTAGTCACTTTTCCCATAATTGATGGGGGGATATGTGTGTTAAACATTCCTTTCTTTTGAAAGCAGTCTGAAAGGATAAAGAAACCTTTGGATTGAGTTCAACTCCTGGTGACCTGAGGGAAATATCCATCAGGCAACAATACTGAAGTTTTTGCCATTGTCTTCTTCCAGGTTGTTTTTATCAATTTCCATTTCTAGCCTAAGCTCTAAAATCTCCTACTGATCTCCTATCAAAATACAAATTTGTTCTTATCCTGCTTGGCTTTTTTAAGATCAATCAAGGTTGGGCGTGTGCTACAGTCCTAAGAACAATGTCTCAAAGGTGCTTTTTCAAAAGGCAACTGGACTGTTTTTTCCCCCGCGAGGAAAAAGATGTTTCGCTTCTCATCCAAGAAGCTTCATCGGTGATACAGTTTCAGTGCATCCCTTGAAAGTGCAAATCAAACAGGAGTTAAAGGGAGCTCAAAATTTCTCCACTTACATCATTTTAGGGACACTTTTCCATACTGAAAACTATTTTTACAGAGTGAAATTGATATGCCTGTACCCAGGTATACAAGAGCGGTCTCAGCCAGAAAGAGAGTGCATTTTGTCTCTAATGCCTAGGCATAGCCATTTGATAATATAACACACATGCATGAATATAGGCTTTATATATGACATTTGTTATTATTTCTCTGCTCTTGTCGCTTCTGTGTATTGCCAGCAACACCCTTATTTCATCCTTATCACTACTGGGTAGGGAGGACCAGGGAAGCCACTATTAAGCCCCTATGACAGTGGTGGCGAACCTATGGCACGGGTGCCAGAGGCGGCACTCAGAGCCCTCTCTGTGGGCACGCGCGCCGTCTCCCCAGTCCTAGGCCTTCAGCTGGGTTTTATAAAACCTTTTCGCTTTAGGCCTCCGCCACCGTGTGCAAAAAAAAAAAAAAAGGTTCAATCAGTCAATTTCAACTTCTCGCGGGAAAAAAAGATCTTGCAAAGTTGGAATTGATTGATGGAACTTTTAGTCCCACCCAGTCTGCCATTACCACTGCGGCCACGCCCACCCAATGGGCTACACCCACTGGCCATACCCACCCGGCACCTGACGATGTATAAATGGGTTTTGGGTTGTAGTTTGGGCACTCGGTCTCTAAAAGGTTCGCCATCACTGCCCTATGAGGACTATTCTAGGCATTTGTCATATGAAGTTGTTCAGATTTGCTCTCAGGATGGCTTCCTGCGTGTTAAATGATGTTCCTGGTTGGTCAAGACCTCTAGGAAGGTGACATGTAGTTGGAGTCATGCAGTGCTGAATGCATCAATAAGAAAAGGTTTGTTCTCCCGGCTCTGAAGGAGGCGGTGCTCTGGCCCCTTCTCATGAAGCCATCAATAGAATAGAATAGAATAGAATAGAATAGAATAGAATAGAATAGAATAGAATAGAATAGAATAGAATAGAGCAGAGCAGAGCAGAGCAGAGCTGGAAGGGACCTTGGAGGTCTTCTAGTCCAGCCCCCTGCTCAAGCACGAGAACCTCCTATACCATCTCAGTAGTTCAAGATGGTCATCCATCAGTTTAGGGTTAAGTACCATCAATATGCTGGCGATATATACAATCCTGGGTTGTATAAAAAGAGGCATAGAATCAAGGTCACGCAAAGTATTAGTACCGCTTTATAAAACCCTAGTAAGAACACACCTGGAATATTGCAATCAGTTTTTGTCACATACTACAAAAAAAGATGCTGAGACTGTGGAAAAAGTTCAGAGAAGAGCAACTAAAATGATCAAAGGCCTGGACACTACAACATATGAAGAACAGCTGCAGGACTTGGGTTTGGCCAATCTAAAGAAAAGAAGAAATCGGGGCGACATGATAGCAGTATTCCAGTATTTGAAGGGCTGCCACAAAGAAGAGGGGGTCACGTTATTCACCAAAACACCAGAGGGCAGGACAAGAAACAATGGTTGGAAACTGACCAAGGAGAGAAGCAACCTGAAATTAAGGAGAAACTTCTTGACAGTGAGGACAATTAACGAATGGAATAGCTTGCCTCCAGAAATCGTGGGTGCTCCATCACTGGAGGTTTTTAAGAAGAGACTAGATAGTCACCTGTCTGATATGGTATAGGTTCTCCTGTTTGAGCAGGGGGCTGGACTAGAAGACCTCCAAGGTCCCTTCCAGCTCCTATTCTATTCTATTCTATTCTATTCTATTCTATTCTATAGTGCAATCTGTCTTGGTGTTTTGGAGGCTGGAGGGGTTCTGGACAGGGGAGAACCCAGACAAGATGGAGGGTCTTGTGGAGTTTGCCCCCCTCATCCAGAATCAGCTCAGAAGATTTTTCATGGCAAATAGTATCAGGGAAGCACCTCCAATTCACCCATAATAGGTTCAAGGTTTTCTTTTTTGTTTTTGCTTGCTTTTTTAAAAAAAAAATTCCACAAGAACTCTCAGAAAATCTAGGACGCTTTCAGCAATTTCCCTGAGAAAATTTAAAGAGATCATCAAGTTTGGAAGAATTTATCCACATCTTTCCAGTCTCAACGTTTTTTTTGAAAGGGAGAAGGGATCACCAAGAGGAGCAACTGATTTCTAGGACTTCCATTAAGCTCAGTGCTTCATATTCAGGATGCAAACACCAAACCCTTTGTCCCAGTAGTTCCGGAAAAAGGAGTTCCTGGTGTCTCACATAATATTTTGTTAGAGGAATTGGGAACTCTGTTTCCTGTTCTCCTTAGTGAAACTGCAAGTATGTTTGGACCTGTGCTACTCTTTAATTTGTGAGCTTTTACAGTTAAAAAAAAAGAGAGAATCCTTTGCAGAATCCTTCTCTTGATGACGCAAAAGAGAAAGTGAAAAAAGAGAATCCTGAGGTTAGCAAAAATGTTTAAAAACATATCTAGCAACTGTTGAAAATGTAGACAAAAACCAGGCACTTATTACCATCTTTGGTGGACATGCCCCAAAGCCAAAAGATTCTGGTCAAGAGTACACATATGGTTAGAGAAAATTACTAAAAAACATAGATTTTTTAAGCCAGAATTATTTTTTTTAGGCATAATTGTAGGAAATTATGAGAAAGAGTGTATATATCTAATTGTACATGCATTAACTGCAGCGAGCAAAAGAGAAAGTGGGCAGTGAAGATTTATGTGCCGTGGCATGCATTAATGTTTGGGGGGGGGAAGGGTTGGAGCCTTATTCATTATTGTGCACTAATCTAAATGGGAACTGTTGATTGTTCTCTAGCTATAGATCCCACAGTTAGCTTTAAGTTCCATGTCACTCAAAACAAACAAAACACCATCTGGAGACCATCACTTACATAAACGGCAATTCTGTGCAAAACTAAGAAACTAAAATTCGGTCCTATGATGCTGCTTTAGAAAACAGTTCTTATTAGGTTTCTTCTTAAGAACCATTTATTTCTTCCCTACCATTTTCTTGGCAGTTTCATAGATCAGAAAATAAAGGAATGTGGAGAAACATATATTGATCAGTTTATTGCAACAGATGCATGTTCTGGGATTCTCTGCCTTTCTTTTATGCTTTTATTAAGGTACACAAACAAAAAGGTACACAAACAAAAAAAGGCTGCATAGTTATTTGAAATTATATATAAAAATGGAAAATGCATTGCTAAAGAATCTCTCCATTTTTTAAGCCCCTTTTCGCATTTGAGTATAAAGAAGTTTTCCCAGAAAATGGCTGGAACGTTTATGATCCCATTCTGGAGTACAGAAGACAGGTGAGTCTCACTATTCCACTTCTGGTTTGCATGTTTTGCTCTCTAGCAAACTATCTTATTACAAACCTGCTGGTTGGGAAAAAAAATTCTAATTCAGTGCTTGGGAATTCTGGGAGTTGAAGTTCACACATCTTAAAGCCACTAAGATTGAGAAACATCGTTCTAATGCAGGGGTCTTCAAACTTGGCCCTTTTATGACTTGTGGACTTCAAATCCCAGAATTCCTCAGCCAGCCCTGGCTGGCTGAGGAATTCTGGGAGTTGAAGTCCACAAGTCATAAAAGGGCCAAGCTTGAAGACCCCTGTTCTAATGGGATAATCAAATAAAAACAATTCCCACGTAAGTGTGTCTGAGCCAGATTAATCTAAATCATAGCATATCACATGGTTAGGAAAAACTGCAACAACGATGCTGCATCTATAGAATGACCATCACTGCAGAGGATGTGAAACATTTTTGTGGATCAAAAAAATAAATAAATAAATAAAAGACCACCCTGTACATTTTCAAAGCAATCTGCTGTCTTTATAGCAGAAGGTGATTTTTTTTTTCTCTCGGTTGCTAATTAAAAATCTCGAAGTAAAACTGATAGAAAGAAAAATCTGCTCTGCGAAGTAGACAGTGAAATGGATTTGATTTGTCCACGTTTTGCAAATATCTAATTTCTAGAGATTAATATCCAGAAAGAGGATCTCCTCTTCTCTCCCCTCTATCCTCCCTTCTCTTTCCTCTCATCTCTGTCTTCTCTCATTTCTCTTGTCTCCTTCCCTCCCCTTTCCTCTCCTCCCCTCCCCCTCCCTCTACCCTCCCTCTATGCTCCCTTCTCTTTCCTCTCATCTCTGTCCTCTCATTTCACTCCTCCCCTCACCCTCCCTCTACTCTCCCTCTACACTCCCTTCTCTTTCATCTCTGTCTTCTCTCATTTCTCTCATCTCCTCCCCTCCCCTCTCCTCCCCTCTACCCTCCCTCTACGCTCCCTTCTCTTTCCTCTCATCTGTCTTCTCTCATTTCTCTCCTCTCTCCTCCCCTCCCCTCTCCTCTCCTCTCCTCCCATCTCCCCTCTTCCCCTCCCCTCTCATCTCTCCCTTCCCTTTCCCTTCCCTTTCCTTTTCCTAAAATCTGAACAGCTTCCCTTTCCTATGTAGGGAATTCCAAATGAAAGCTGGAGAGTCACTAGCATCAATGAGCAATATGAGCTTTGTGATACCTATCCTGCCCTTCTGGTAGTTCCAGCCAATATTCCAGATGAGGAGCTGAGGAAAGTGGCTGCGTTCCGGTCAAGGGGCCGTATACCTGTAAGTATGCCACTAGCAATATGACTTCTGCAGATTGGTGTCTCCCAAATGTGTTGGGCTGCATCCTTCGCCAAGTGGATTTTGAAGAAGAAAGCAAGGAATTATTTTAACAATGTATGGACATCAGCCATCCTAGCAGCAGGAACACTTCAGACTGCAGTTGCAGTGGTTTGATTCAGAGCAGTTAAATACAGAGTCACGATATTCAATTACCTTCTTGACCCACTCTTGCTTTTTTTTCCCTTTCCGTTCTTGTCTTCTACCAGGTTCTATCATGGATTCATCCAGAAAGCCAAGCCACCATCACTCGCTGCAGCCAGCCAATGGTTGGAGTCAGTGGCAAGAGGAGCAAAGAAGATGAAAAGTACCTTCAGGCTATCATGGATTCCAATGCCCAGTCCCACAAAATACTCATTTTTGATGCCAGACCAAGTGTGAACGCAGTAGCTAACAAGGTTGGACTCTCATCCCTCTTGCAACAAGTATTTCAGCCAGCTCCCACCTAGCAGCTTCCAGTACAGATAGTCCTCGACTTACGATCTCAATTGAGCCCAAAATTTCTGTTGCTAAGCGAGACATTTGTGAAGTGAATTTTGCCCCATTTTACGACCTTTCCTGCCATATTTGTTAAGCTAATAGCTGCATTTGTTAAGTTAGTAACACAGTTGTTAAGTGAATCTGGCTTCCCCAGTGACTTTGTTTGTCAGAAATTCGCAAAAGGTGACCACATGATCCTGGGTTGCTGCAGCCGTCATAAATACATGCCAAGCGTCTGACTTTTGATATAGTGTGATCATGATGCTGCTGCAGTATGAGAAACGGTCATAAGTCATTTTTTTCAGTGCCATTATGACTTTGAACAGTCACTAAAGGTACTCTTGTAAGTCAAGGACTCCCTGCATTTGGATGCTTCAGATCTTAGCTAGCAGAAGGATAGTCTGGCAAGAAGTCCAGAAAACTGGACTTTAGGGACTGGCAAGTGGAGGACAGATATTTAGGAAACCAACAAGCAAGTTCTGAGTATCCCAAGAAAAATTTCATTATCTTATGGGATTGATGAGTTTCTCAGCAACCAATGGTTTACAGCAGAGGTCTCCAACCTTTCCGGGCTCGCGGACCAGAGGGAAGGAGAACAGCTTACAAATTGGTGCACACGCGTGTGCGCACGCAAACGGCCACGTGCACTGGCAGAGCACTAGCTGCCCCGTTCGCTCATGCGGCATGCGCTGGCCTTAGCAGCCCCATTCGTGCCCGCTCGCATGTGCAAACGGGGCTGCAGGTGCTAGCGCGAGTGGGGAAAATGCACGCCCGCACGTGCATGCACCAGCCAGCCATTTCCGTGGCCCGCTGGCCAAGAGCCTGCAGCCCAGTCCCGGGCCGCAGCCCATAGGTTGGGGACCTCTGGTTTACAGACAGACAGCCTCCTCCAGATGATTTAAACTACCACTCCCATTAGTCCTAGTCAGTCTGGAATTCTGGGAGTTGAACTCCAAAGCATTTGGAGCATGTTATGTTGAATCTTCTAGCTGTGGCTGAATCTATAGAAGTGGAAATATGTCCCTGCTTGTAAAACCTACTACAAATAGTCCTCAAGTTACAACTACAATGGGGGGCTGTCCATCACAGTCATAATTTGTGATGGTTGTAAAGCAGGTCAGTTATGTGAGCCACCCAATTTTACGACTGTTTTGCGACGGTCATTAAGTGAATCACTATAGTCATTAAATGAACCAATGGTTGACATGGATTTTCCAGAAACTGGAAGTAAATTTAGGTTTTCAACAAAACGGTCATAAAAGGCAGCCATATAATTGTGGGATGCTGGCGATGGCTGTAAATTTGGTTGCTAAGAAACCAAGCTGGTCACATGATGTCATGGGGTGATCATTGGAACTTCGCATCCAGGTTGTAAGTACTCACCAGGTAATTCCATTGGAACTGCAAACATTCATTAAACAAGCAATTGGTAAGTCGAGGACTACTACTATAGTCAAAATAGAGTGAAGGATTCTCTGGGTATTCTCCATGCTGCTTTTCTGTTGTGGTTTAACAACTCAGTCATTCGTGTGAAGAATTTTCCATCCCCCAGTTTTCCATAACAATTAGTTCCAATATTGCTAAAAGGCTAATAAAAATTCTTGTGTAACGATAGCAGCTAAATACAGGAACTCGCAGTTGGAAAAAACTTGATGGAACAGTATGGTTCTAACTTGACATCTGGAAAATCAATAACACTTGAAACTCAGAAAAAGTTGTCCACCAGTAGGCAAATCTTATTCTTAGGAAGCCTCCAGGCCCCAGTGGTTGATCTTCAGAGCAGGGAAGTTCATGGGAAAAGCTCCGAGGTGACTTTCCAAATTGATAGGGCACATAGAAAAATCAGTACATTAAAAACAGCCGTGGAATCAAAATAGCAAGATAAAGTTGTTTTCTTTTCTTTCAAAAGATAGTCTTAAACGAAACTATTCTATCTTTACATACAATAAAATCTTATCTATTACATATATTTTAAATTACATATACATCTCTATTACTTAACTAACAATTTATACTATATTAGACTATTCTTACATATATGACCTTACAGTGCAGTTTAGGTTACAAACAAACAAACAAAAAATTAACAAAATATTTATTTTTCAAATTTTTTTTTTTAAAAAGATAGTCTTAAAGAAAGCAAGATTTGTGATTGTTCCTCAAAGACCAAAAAGAGGTTAACTTGATACATCATCTAATGGAACTTACCACAGATAGTCCTCAATGTACGACCACAGCTGAGCCCAAATTTTCTGTTGCTAAGCAAAAAAGTTGATAACTGAGTTTTGCTCCTTTTTATGACCTTTCTTGCCACAGTTGTTAGTTGAATGACTGCCATCATTAAGTTAGCAACATGGTTGTTAAATGAATCTGGCTTCCCCCATTGACCTTCCTTGTCAGAAGGTCGCAAAAGGGGATCACAGGACGCCAGGTCATTGCAACCGACATAAATACATACTGGCTGCCAAGCGTCTGAAGTTTGATCATGTTACCATGGGGATGTTGCAATCATCGTAAGTGTGAAAAACAGTCCTCAGTCACTTTTTTCAGTGCTGTTGTTACTTCAAATGGTCACTAAAGGAATGGTTATAAGTCAAGGACAACCTGTACTCTGCTTCTTCCCAACTTGAAATAACAACCTCAAGTAGATGGGATTCAAACAATAGAATCTCATTTCAGCCTTGGCAGCTGTGACCATGTATGGCTGTGCAGCCAGTGATGCTAAGTTTGCACGTCTGAAATCTTAGTGTTCAGCAATATATGTAAATTCTGCTGAATTGTTCACTCATGAAAAGATAGAAATGATCAAGAAGGGTCCATCAGAAAGTCCTCACGCTCCTCGGTACCACATCCCCTAATGGCCTTATTACAATCCCAGTCGATGTGGGCCCAGTTAAAATATACCCCCAAAATTTATCAAAATAAGCAGGTCATCACAATCTGGACTTTTCCCAGACTTCCACTCTCCCAATGTAGGGAGACCACACCTCCAAGCCTGTCTAGAGTGTGGAAGTGTGGTATAGTCCTTCTTGTTGTTATCTGAGACGTCTGAAATCTTAGCTAGCCCAAAACAGCCCCATATTCGTTGTCTTTGCAGGCAAAAGGAGGAGGTTATGAAAGTGAGGACGCCTATCAGAATGCCGAATTGGTTTTCCTGGACATCCATAATATCCACGTCATGAGAGAGTCATTGAGGAAACTCAAAGAAATTATATATCCCAACATAGAAGAGACACACTGGCTGTCGAATTTGGAATCCACTCATTGGCTGGAGCATATCAAGGTCAGTTGATGGGTATTCTGTATCTGTCTGTATTAGGCCACAGAGTCCATTGGGAATGGGTGCCCTAGAAATGCCACGAAATAAATAAAATGCACTGTGATGGTGTGTTATCGGCATGGATTCATAGCAACTGTTCCTACTGGTAAAGATTTTCCACTATCCAGGAGCAGAGTCTGCATTTCATGCTTGTTGGCTGCAGTGATAGAGACTTCAGATACTAGCTGGAATTTTCCTCTTGTAAACTTTCCCTTCCTTCTAATGAATAATTGCTAATTAGAGCTATGAGATACTGGTTCATTGGATTATTTGTTCTCAGTCCAAACCGAAAGGAGGACATCTGACATGTATTCCAGAGAGATCTTATTTTCAAATGAAGCAGGTAGTTCTGATAATATAATTCTCATTCATTTTCTCCCACTCTTACACTGAAGTGGGTCAGTAGTTTATCTCTTTTGTAAAGAAAAGAGTGAATAAATCTGTTGAGCATGACACTTTTGCAAGGAAACAGTTGGACTGAGGACATGGAGAGGGTAAAAGAGATCTTTTAGTGCAGGTGTCTCCAAACTTGACAGCTTTAAGAGACTTGTGGACTTCAACTCCCAAAATTCCAGACAAGGAACAATGGATGGAAACTAGTCAAGGAAAGATTCAACCTAGAAATAAGGAGAAATTTTCTGACAGTGAGAATCATCAACCATTGAAACAGCTTGCGTTCAGAAGTTGTGGGTGCTTTATCAGTGGAGGCTTTCAAGAAGAGACTGACAGCCACTTGACTGGAATGGTATATGGTCCCCTGCTTGGGCAGGGGGTTGGACTAGATGACCTATAAGGTCCCTTCCAACTCTGTTACTCTAAGTTCTGATTCCCCAGCCAGCATTGAAGTCCACAAGTGTTAAAGTTACCAAGATTGAAGACTCCTGTTCTAGTGGCAGTCTGGAATGATTTGCAGTCAATCTCAACTAGACTTGTCTTCTGCTGATTGTTTATTTTCTTTCAGCCTACCTTCCACCTATTTTATGCAAAACAGAGGTACTTGTAAAATACAGCAAAAGCTCATTTTACTGGATCCTGACTGATCAGATTTTGCATGCATCCGACTGAACTTCTGCTACAATTTTTTTGTAATTGTAAATCATGAAAATGACATAAACTCACTCATTAATAATTAACGATAGATAGATAGATAGATAGATAGATAGATAGATAGATAGATAGATAGATAGATAGATATAGATGATATAGATATAGATATAGATATTTTAAAAATGCGAGTCCCGGATATATTTATAATAGAAAAAACTACTAAAAACATTGATCTCTGAGACAAAAATTTTTATTAAGAACTAAGCTTTCGTCAGCAGCTGCTGACATTGTCAAAGTATAAGCCAGGATCTGGGGACGCTTGTCCTTATAGTCTTTGGGAAGCTAAAGATTTGGACAATGAGCGTATCATAGGTCTGTCCATCCCCTGCGCACCTAAAATTGGCTGCATCAGTCTTGTTTCTGCTGTGCTAACCGACATCCGTTTGAATTTTACTGCTCTGCCTCTCCCCGCATGCCCTACCTGCCTAGAACTTGCGGCGCACGGTCGTCTTGCAGCGCACGGTCATTTGACGTCGCCGCCTATTCTCCCCACTGTCTTGCTTAGGTGTATCCCTAAGATTTGTCCAAATCTTTAGCTTCCCAAAGACTATAAGGACGAGCATCCCCAGATCCTGGCTTATACTTTGACAACATCAGCAGCTGCTGACGAAAGCTTAGTTCTTAATAAAATTTTTAGTCTCGGAGATCAACGTATATTGCACTCGTGTCAGAAGCATCAAGGTGCTTCCAGGTTGAAAGGGTTAGTCGGTGATATCACCATTGCCCTTGGGATACCCAGTTGGAGGCTCCTTTCATATCCCCAGCAGGAGCTGGAGCCAAGGACGAGAGCTTAACCCCGCCCCATGGCAGCTTTCAGGTCTCAAACACAGTCTTGCCAACTTCCTGCCCAGAGTCCCAACCGTTCGAGCCACCGTGCTCCAAATTTGCATCATGATGTCATCACATAAATTAGATAAATCCTCAACGATAGTCTTGTCTCTGATTCAACATGAATACCTCTGATCCAATTTATTCATTTATCAAATTAAATAGCCACCCATCTCACAGACCTGACTCTGGGCAGTGTACAATAAAACAAATACCATACAAATAAAAACAAGGGAAAATGCACTAGCATCCTACACACAGTCTATTAAAACAAAGCTCCACTATAGATAGTATGTACCAGGTTTTCTAGAATTCGGCTTTACAGGGATTGACTTGTGATAATTTCTGGTAACTTGATTTGTATATTTGTATTGGAAAACTTTGACATTCCCATGAACCTGAGATGTGTCCATGTCCTTAGGTGGCCTCCAAGTGTTCTTGAACTACAGTTGGCAGCCAACATCCCTGATGGTAAAGCATCTTGAGCAGGGGTCTTCAAACTTGGCAACTTTAAGACTTGTGGACTTCAACTCCCAGAATTCCTCAGCCAGCTGTGGCTGGCTGAGGAATTCTGGGAGTTGAAGTCCACAAGTCTTAAAGTTGCCAAGTTGGAAGACCCTTGATCTTGAGGATCGCTTCACTACATCTCCGACTTTTTAAAAACACCTGTGGATGTTCTGTTTTAGTCTCTTAAGATGATTTAAGCTTTTTATATATGAATCTGATTGAGCATACTACAGTATGTACATTAAATCCCATTACTCAATTAAAGAAGAAAGAGAAAACCTTTCTTTATCCGAAGCTTCTTTTATCAGCAATCACTGGATTTGTTCCACATGCCAATGTTTATTTATTTACTGTATTTATTTATTAAACTCGTATGCTGTCTTTCTCACCAGAGGTGACGCCAGGCAGCTTACAGTCATTGAATAAAATGCCGAATAAAACACCAGAACAATAAATACAGATCTTAAATTTAAAAATGTAATTAAAAGTTCAGTTCTGTGAATATAGCCAATGAATGACTGAGGATTGAAGCTAAGATGTTTTACAACTGTAGCTTCTATCAATCTCTTTTAGCAAAAACAATGTGACATGAGGTCATTAGCAAGAAGAGACTTTTATTTATGTTTACACAGGTTCTGTCAAGCAAATTCATGATATTCACTGATTGGGAAAAGCACTTGCATTACACAGAATGCAGGGACCACAAGGCTACAAGTGAAAAATTACAGATGAACTGATTTATCCTTCCTTTGTTCTTTGTTTTCCACATGACTCATTTCTTTGTCCTTTGCAACCTACGTGACTGGGTCTATTTGCTAATAGAACTGATTTATATTTCTCTACAAGAAAACAGTTGGGACAATGTCATAAAATTGGGAGGGATAGTGACCTCATGTCACACTGTCTTTGCTAGAACAGGTTGACAGAAGCTACAGTTGTAAAACATTTTAGCTCGAGTCCTTAGTCATTCATTGGCTATGTTCACACAAGGATTGAACAAGGTCACTTAGATTTGGCAATGCATTTTCATAATCTGCAAATCTTGGTTTTAACGTTATTAGTTCTTTTATTAAAAAGAGGTCAGTATATTGTGCCAATCCAGCCTGTTTGGGACTTTAAGATTCGACATATCATGTAAAGCCAAAATATAGGTTGATACCATAACTAGATTAAGTGTGTGGTGTAAACCCATTAACCTATAGAATTTTACTTAGCTATGGTTTTGTTGGGGCTGTTCCAAGGGCAGAGAATAATGGATAGATGCTTCTACCCAACTCCAATGGCATAAACTAGAAATTGCAATCAGTGAGACTAACAGCCTTGGATTTATAGGAAATATGAATATCTTAAGTGGCAAAAAAAGCCTTTCCTGATTTTTTTATGATAAAGTATGAGTACAAATGCAGTGTGTTGTGTACTAAAATAATATGCACGCAAGCCTTAGCAAATAAATTGGATATAATCTTTGGAATATAACAGAACTTTGAGAATAGACAGTGGTTGCCTTCTTACTCAATGCATGAATGAATCAACATGAAGGTATGAAAAAACATACTGAAATATCCCTTGCAGTTTTCTCCATACTGCTCCCATCATGCAAAGATATTATCTTGGGCCTTTTTAAGGTGAAGATGATAGATGGAGCCCAATTGTTCTCAAGACTACTTTAGGAACGTTGTCCATGGGGTCGCGATGGGTCGGACACGACTTCGCAACTAACAACAACAACCACAATCACATAATGCCTTTCTTTTTTTTTTTTAACCCAGCTGATTCTCGCTGGAGCTCTTCGGATTGCTGACAAGGTTGAATCAGGGAAGACCTCAGTGATTGTACATTGTAGCGATGGATGGGACCGTACTGCTCAGCTCACATCTCTGGCCATGCTCATGCTAGATGGCTATTACAGGACGATACGAGGCTTCCAGATGCTGCTAGAGAAAGAATGGCTGAGTTTCGGGCACAGATTCCAGCTGGTGAGTTAAGGTTATTTTTTTTTGGTAGAACATCGTATTATAAAAATATATTATATTATAAAGTATAATAAAAATCATTATACATTATAAAAACTACTACATATTCTAAAACGATGTTGAGACTCCGGAAAGAGTGCAGAAAAGAACAACAAAGATGATTAGGGGACTGGAGATTAAAACATATGAAGAACGGTTGCAGGAATTGGGTATGTCTAGTCTAGTGAAAAGAAGGACTGGGGTGACATGATAACAATGTTCCAGTATTTGGAAGGCTGTCACAAAGAAGAGAGGGGTCAACTTATTTTCCAAAGCCCCAGAATGCAAGACAAGAAACAATGGATGGAAACTAACCAAGGAGAGAAGCAGCCTAGAACTAAGAAGAAATTTCCTAATAGTGAGAACAATTAACCAGTGGGACGCCTTGCCTTCACTGGAGGCTTTTAAAAAGAGACTGAACAGTGACTTGTCTGGAATGGAATAGGTTTTCTTGATTGAGCAGGGGCTTGGCTTAGATGACCTCCAAGGTCCCTTCCAACTCTGTTATTCTGTTATCAAAGGATTTTGAAATCCAGTTCTTTACCAATAGAAATAACAGAAAGAGAAGATAATTTTTTTTCTGTCTTAAATCAGGTTCCAGGAAAAACAGAGTGAGGGTTTTTCGGTGCACTGCTGGTTCACAGTCAGATTTTTGCTGAATTCTTGTGCTGAACATTTATTCATAGGCCTTTTTCTCTTAGCTATTTCTTTGCATTTGGCCCATTAGTTGATCTTGTAAACAAACATACAAGTAGAATTCTGTATCTCAGGCTGCTGATCCTTGATTTAAGGTTGTGAATGCGCACTTATAAACTGGCTGAGGATTGCTGATCACCACTCAGACATAATTCCAGGAGACTAGCAAAATTCCACAGCCTACTGTGGAAGAATAGAGTGCAATAATTTGGGGGGGGGATGTCAAGGTTTTTGATAACTGTTGAAAGCCAGAAGTGATTATTTTTCAACCTAAACCCTCACAGAATTCCCCTTAGCAAGATTTATTGAGATGAAAGAGATGAGGTTACAAGAATTCCAGCAACTGCGTAATTTTTCCTATAGAACCACTACTGTATATCTCCATGCGCAAGAGGGTGACACTTTTTGATAATTCTTTCTAACAGCCTTGCTATACTCTGGTGAAGAGATGAGCTTTTTTACTCTTAACTGGAAGGCTTGCAGGGGTCTGTTTACATGGATCTTTGAAACCTCTATCAATCTGGGAGTCAGTTCAGGTTATGATTATATAACTGTGCCAAGTAAACCATCTCCCAGTTTCTCAAAGTTTGGGGAAATGTGTTGATCAGCACAGAAAACACTTGCAAGAAAATATACGCCCCCCTAATTTCTTTCTTTGACCCAGATGCATCTTTTTGTGTCCCCTCCTCTCCTGCCTCTGAAGATGTGTACTTGTGTCACTGCATTTCTACCCCTACGTTCACATTCGGTGCGATGCCTTAAAATCCAAATAAAATTTCACTGATAGCTTTAATGTGACTGTCATGGCTGCGTTTCCTTTGCAATGTACAGCGGTGCATGTCACCAGATGGTGCATCCTATCGGATTATACAACTTGTCCAAATAGGTTATAGTAATAATAATAATAATAATAATAATAATAATAATAATAATAATAATAACAACAACAACAACAGTAGTAGTAGTAGTAGTAGTAGTAGTAGTAGTAGTAGTAGTAGTAAAGTTGGAAGGGACCTTGGAGGTCATCTAGTCCAACCCCTTGCTCAGGCAGGAAACCCTATACCAGTGATGGCGAACCTTTTAGAGACCGAGTGCCCACACTGCAACCCAAAACCCACTTATGTATCGTCGGGTGCCGGGTGGGCGTGTCCCATTGGGTGGGCGTGTCCCATTGGGTGTGGCTTCGGTGGTAATGGCAGACTGGGTGAACTAAAAAGTTCAATCGATCAATTCCAAATTTGCGAGACCTTTTTTTTCCCCCGAGAAATTGAAATTGATTGATTGATTGAACCTTTTTTTAGTTTTGCACATGGCAGTGGAGCCCTAAAGCGGAAAGGTTTTATAAAACCCAGCTGAAGGCCTAGGACTGGGGCGATGGTGCACGTGCCCACAGAGAGGGCTCTGCGTGCCATCTGTGGCACGCGTGCCATAGGTTCGCCACCACGGCCCTATACCATTTCAGACAAATGGCTGTCCAGTTTCTTCTTAAAAACCTCCAGTGTTGGAGCATTCACCGCTTCTGGAAGCAGGTTGTTCCACTGGTTAATTGTTCTCACTGTCAGGAAGTTTCTCTTTAGTTCTAGATTGCTTCTCTCCTTGATTAGTTTCCACCCGTTGCTTCTTGTCCTGCCTTCAGGCGCCTTGGAAAATAGCTTGACTCCCTCTTCTTTGTGGCAGCCCCTGTCCTTGGCTGTGCTGCTCTGCGTGGGCCATGCTCGGGGGCAACTCTCCTCCAGGGGGGCTGCTGGTGAGGAGGGGGTTGCAGGGGGAGGCAAGGCTGGGGCAATGGCACGTGTGCCCACAGAGAGGGCTCTGAGTGCCACCTCTGGCACTCAGGTTGGCCACCACTGATGTAGATGATGGACATTAACATGGATAATTCTAAAAGGAGATTGAGTAAAGTTGCGGGGACATGTATATAAAGAGCTATCTTGATGGAGTGAATGCCAAGACTCAATATTGAAGTTTCATGTTACTTTAGGATGGGGGGTGTGTGTCAATATGTCAAAAATATCAGTTGTGAAAAAAACAACATGGAAGAGAGTTATGTCTTTTCTCCTGAAGAGAACTTGAGGAGTATCTAGTTGGCCACTGGAAATGTTGGATTTAGATGACCCTTGCCTAATTCTACACAGTATTAATTTCATATGTTATTAGAGGAGGATGAAGGGTGAAAATATTTACACTGTACGAAAGCCACAATGAACTTTAAATGGGGAGGGTGGAGGAAGAGAAATGCAAAACTGCTGTTTGATTGTTCTTCAGGCTGCAAATCAAAAATTGGGGCTCCACCTGCAGGCCTGATAAGTTGCTTGCTTTTGTTCTCTAGGATGAGGGCAATTGTCGTAGGTCTGTGTCGCTGTGTCTGTGTGTTTTTCCTTCTACCTTTCTCTTTTTTTATTTCAGAGAGTTGGCCACGGAGACAAAAATCACGCTGATGCTGACCGATCTCCTGTTTTCCTCCAGTTTGTGGACTGTGTGTGGCAGATGACGAGACAGGTACATTTTGGGGACAGCAAAGAACCCTTAGAAATAATCTTCCTCCCTTTTTATTGTCGAGCCAATATAAAGTATCTGTGTCAATGTTTATGTGTAGGAAAGGTCGATAGGTTGCAGTTCTATAAAAATATAGTATTTCAATGGCAATAAGCCTGGTAAACTCAGTGGGTCTCAGTGCTGAACATATTCTCCATTTGTACAGGCAATCCTCAACTTATGACCATAACTGAACCCAGAATTTATGTTAAGTGAGTTTTGCTCCATTTTACAACTTTTCTTGCCACTGCATTTGTTAAGTTAGTAACATGGCTATTAAGTGAACCGCTGCATATAAGTGAACCGCTGCATATAAGTGAACCGCTGCATTTGTTAAGTTAGTAACATGGCTATTAAGTGAATCTAGATTCCCCATTGACTTGGCTTGTCAGAAGGTCACAAAAAGCTGATCACGTGACTCCAGGCCACGGCAACCGTCATAAATATGAACCACTTGCCAAGCATCTGAATGTTGATCAGGTCACCACGGGGATGCTGCAACGGTCTTAAGTGTGAAAAACAGTCATAAGTCACTTTTTTTCAGTACTGTCGTAACTTTGAATGGTCACTAAATGAACCGGGGTAAGCTGAGGACTACTGTACACATAAAGATCCCAAAAGTACTAACTGGACTCTGTTTTTCCTTGAAGATGTTTCGCTTCTCATCCAGGAAGCTTCAGAACCGAAGAAGCTTCTTGGATGAGAAGCAAAACATCTTCAAGGAAAAACAAAGACATTTAAATTGCCTTTTGAAAAAAGAATCTTTGGGGCAACCATGACCTGGATGACTGAGAATCTCCATAGACACACACATACACACTTCTCCAGTACACATACACATTTCTCCAATATAATTTTCTGGCAGGAAAATGTCTTTTCAAGTGTCGGGTGGGAAAATCCTGTGTAAATCTACTGTCACATTTTCCCTTTCTTCCTTCCAAGTTTCCCACAGCTTTTGAATTCAACGAGTTCTTACTCATCACCACCCTTGACCATCTCTACAGCTGTCTCTTTGGGACCTTCCTGTGTAACAGTGAGCAGCAGAGAGTGAAAGAGGTAAACCATCGCAATACTTTTTTAAAATAATAATAATAATAATTCTCCCTACTCATTTATGTATGCTTTTCAAATGGGACAACATACTTGCTCCTTACCAGGGCCTTTCAGAAAAGACAGTATCCCTGTGGTCCTACATCAACAGTCAGCTTGAAGACTTCACCAACCCTCTGTATGCCAGCTACACCAACCATGTGTTATATCCAGTGGCCAGCATGCGTCACTTGGAGCTTTGGGTAGGATACTACATCCGGTGGAATCCTCGGATGAAACCACAGGTAAACCGATTCGTGGGGAGGAGAAAGGGGGCGCGGGTCAAAATCAGATGTTTCTTAGCATTGTAATTATGGTCAGTGGACTTTCTGTGTTTCGCAATACTAACTAGAAGATGTTCGTTTATGACAGGGGTCCCCAACCCCCGGTCCATGGCCCAGTACTAGTCCACGGCCTGTTGGGAACCACGCTGTGCAAGGGGCGGGTGAGCGCACATGCACGCGAAGCTCCGTTTGTGTAAGCAGCGGGCGCATGTGTGAAACCATCCCCTCCCCCCACTGCTACCACTTCTGCCAGTCCACAGAGTCAGAAAGATTGGGGACCACTGTTCTATGATGACCACATGGCAACAAGGATTTTATTATTATTATTTTTCTATTTGTTTGTACATCTTCCTCCTCCTATTTTCCTCACAACAACAAACCTATGAGGTGAGTTGGGCTGAGAGAAAGATTGGCCCAAAATCACCCAGCTGACTTTCAGAGCTAAGGCAGAATAGAAGTCACAGTCTCCCAGTTTCTAGCTTGGCATCTTCCCCTCACATTGTGCTTTGACTCATCCAAAATCAATGATATTTGAAATTGTATGTGTATTATTCCAGAGAATTGGCTGTGTAATTGTACCTAATACAGGTAGTCCTCGACATATGGCCACAACTGAGCCCAAAATTTCTGTTGTTAAACAAGACAGTTGTTAAGTGAGCTTTTGCCCCATTCTATGACCTTTCTTGCCACAGTTCTTAAGTGAATCACTTAATCACAGTTGTTAAGTTAGTAACACGGTTGTCAAGTGAATCTGACTTCCCCATTGACTTTGCTTGTCAAAAGGTCATAAAGAGGATCACACGAGCCCGGGATACATAAATATGAGCAACCGTCATAAATATGAGCCAGTTGCCAAGCGTCCATACTTTGACCATGTGACCATGAGGGTGCTGCAATGGTCATAAGTGTGAAAAACGGTCATAAGTCAATTTTTTCAGTGCCGTTGTAACTTCAGTCGCTAAACGAATGATTGTAAGTGGAGGACCACCCGTATCACTTGTCCAGAAGAGAATTTGGGTATTGAAACAGGTTGTGGAACTCTGCTAGGTCATTAAAAAAAAAAACTAGGTTATTATAATTTTCTGTCCCAAAGTTGAGCAAGGTGTGTTTTGTTTTGCCATTAGGAACCAGTCCACAATCGCTACAAAGAACTCCTAGCAAAACGAGCAGAACTGCAGAAAAAAGTGGACGAGCTTCAGCGAGAAATCACCAATCGCTCCACTTCCTCCTCTGAGAGGGCCGGTTCCCCCGCGCAGTGCGTTACGCCGGTCCAGACGATTGTATGACGTCGTGCACACCCGTCTTTCAAAACCCGATGCTCTTTCCCAATGTCTTGACGCGTCCCCTGGCTGGCCTTGATGGGAGCCGCAGCCCAACGCAGCGAGAAAGCAACAGATTGAGGGAAAAGCTGGAGCAGGACTCTTGTGGTGGTGACCCTTTTTCTAAGAAAGAAGCTGACGTGATTAGAAAGGGCTTTTCCTAAGACTGTATTTATTATGTTCTACTTCTCCAGGGTATTTTATTGCAGCTGTAACACTACAAGAGCCGGAATAGTTGTTTTGTTTTTTTTAAAAAAAGAACCTCTTATATGATTAATTTTCTTGTGGGCTAATTAAGAGGGAAACTAACTGCATGGCATCTCAAGGCACAATTATAGGACATTTATTAATGAGTTCAGAGTGTTTAGCGTCGGCTTTTGCTGTGGAACGATGCGCTTAAAACAGGGTCATACTTATTTCAAACCTCAGCCACCTGAATACAAAGACCCTCACAGGGATTCCCGATGTATACGGTGGGCTTTGCTGATCTCCCATTTTACCTTGCCCACTTACAAACGGCTCCACCAAAACGCAAAGGGATTTGCCAGTGGAATGCAAATCATCACAGTGAGTTTGCATGCTAGGAAAGAAGAACATTCAGAAATTGCAATTGTGCATATGAAAATGATGCACTCTTGGCTTCTGACGCAGTCGCAGACTTTTTTGTGGTGCCTCATTCTTACAGAAATATGGCCTGTAAAAAAGGTTGGGGGGAAGCAAGAATTCAAAACTTCTGAGGTTAATTGCTTTATACAGGGATGAGGAAACAAATGTGTCATCCAACGTATGTTTCTGGTGGCATTCACGTAAAGAGGAAAACCTTGAGGCCCTCCAGATCTCAGTAGAGTCAACAGCTGCAGGATGTTCAGTTGCGAGGAAAGGTCACTGAAGACGTTGAAGATGCTGGAAATTGAAGCCATACATTTAGCCAACACCTAGGCTGGGGAAAGGTAACTTAGACGTATCTATGGGAATAGGCCAAAACTATCTATTTTATCTCTGGGTGCTGTGATTTGTGGATCAGGAGTTAAACCATACACCAGTGGTTCTCAACCTTTTTAATGCCGCGACCCCAACCGGTTGTAAGTCGAGGACTAAACCGGTCGTAAGTCGAGGACTACCCAACCGGTCGTAAGTCGAGGACTTTCCCTGCCCAGGAGCGCCGCACATGCATGGTTCTGCCCCCTGTGCCGGCTGAAGCGTAGCTGGCAAGCGGCAGAGACGGAGCAGGCTGACCACCAGCTGGCCCAGCTCAAGGGAGGTAAGGCACCCGCCGGAAAAGGGGGGAAAAAATGGCGGACAGCCTTGCTTGGCGACCCCCGTGAAATGGTCGATCGACCCCAAATTGGGTCGCGACCCATAGGTTGAGAACCGCTGCCATACACCATGGTAAACAAATCAAATGATAATCTTGTCCATGCAGTGCTGTCCAGAGGACCCCAATAAAAATGATATTGTTTGATCACTTTTGATTTAATACAGTGATTCTCAACCTTTTCTTCACCGCGGACCCTGTTCAAATACCTTTTGTGACCACGGACCACCAAGACTTAAGATTTAAATCCTAACATTTCTTCAAGCTTTCGTGGACCCCCCTGCAATGACATCGCTCCCCCCCCGGGTCTGCATACCACAGGTGAGAACCACTGATTTAGCATATTGTATGAATACACCAATCGATTGAATAGATTTAAATGTTTTGCATTTTAAAAGTTCTTTGATCCCCGGAGTCTCCAGGTGAGTTTCCAAATGCTAAGTCGTCACGGCCACTGCCGATCAGAGAAGGAAACGATGCTTTCGTGGATGAGCCAGTTATTTTCTCTGGTAAAGGTAGTTCTTCCTTTATCTATACCAGGGGTAGTCAACCTTGGCTCTTTTATGACTCGTGGACTTCAACTCCCAGAATTCCTGAGCCAGCTAAGCTGGCTCAGGAATTCTGGGAGTTGAAGTCCACGAGTCATAAAAGAGCCAAGGTTGACTACTCCTGATCTATACCATGGGTGTCAAACTCGCCGCGTCACGTGACGTGTCACGATGTATTGCGACTTTTTTTGCATTGCCAGAGCTGGGATGGGCGCGTATCATGCAACCGGCCGGCAGTTTGACACCCCTGATCTATAAGGTAGTCCTCGACGTACGACTACAATTAGGAGCAGAATTTCCATTGCTAAGCAAGACAGCTGTCTCATGCCCAATTTTGCAACCTTTTT